AGGGACTTGGTGCGTGTACGCGCGCTTGCACCACCTGGATAGTAAGTCCTTTTACTCACACTTTCGTGAGTGGTGTGTAAAGTTATGTGTCATATAAGACTCGCTGTTGGCTAGCATGATCCCGGAGCACGTGGTGTTATGTGTGAAGTAAGGCAGTATAATGTGTGTGCCCTCTCCCTGCCTCACACTCCCTCGTCCATCACCTCCAACTCTACTGGCTGCCGGCCAACTTACCTCATTTGGCTTTTATTGCCCCTCTAATATATCAAAAACCTTTGCAAAAGTTTTATCAAGTGCGTCTCATCAGGCGCCCATCTTCTAGCCGTTCTAGTTGACAGGCATGGTGAGGGTCATCTCCCCCAGGACCAGGCGGCCACACCTCATTCTAATCATCTCCAGATCCTTTGTAATGTACAAACACATACACACATAAAACTCTCCCCATGCCTTCTTGTCATACACTCTCAGCCTGATGACACCAATCTGCGTTTAAATCCCTATTTTCCACTCAGGACGTCGCTTCTCTTTACACATCAACCTCCATCTTTCAACTGGCCAGCATTCAATCGTTGCTGTTAGAGCCAGGGATGCAACACTCATTACACCACACTGGACGGGGACACCCTCTCAGTGGCCCCTCACCCTCTTGGATGCCTCATTAACCTCCCAGTCTTTACTTACAGCCTCCCTCTCACCACCCATTACCATCCTCTCTCTCCCTCGTCCATCGCTACGTACATGGTAACTACCTCTTATTAAATTGTGTATTACCAAGAGGCATCGTTGTTGTCCTCCCCGACTTATCAAACACACATTGTTCCTCCTCCGTGACCTTACTTAATTCTTCGTAATTTCCACTTCTACATTATTTATTTACAGTATTTATTTATTTATTCTTTGCGGGAGTGTAGCAAGTGTCGTATTGTCAGTGTGTTGTCATTCTAGACTTGACCGAGAGAGCTCCAGTCTGGGCATTAGTGATGGTCCGGTGCGTCTTCCATAACACACCAGTCACGACGTGTCACTGTCCACTTGTCATCGATAATAGACTGTCATGTTTTTCTTCTCGTCATAACCAAACTGATCATTGTGTAAAGTTTTGAATACTTCCTGTTTCCACAACTTTCCCCAAATTCGAACCTGAAAGTTTATTGCACTGTGGATCGGTGAGCGGGGGTGTGACGTATGGTGACTGTCAGCTATCGGAAACCTTTCATTCCTATTTGCATTTCGACCATAGATGTCTGTTAATCATTTTATCATTCTGGTTTGATGGCCACATTCAAGACATCTGAGTTGGTGAGTTAAGAGGGGGCGAAGGCAAGGAACCGTCCATTTAGTGGTTTGTGTGAGGTGGCCTGCTGATAGTGGTGCAAGCTAGTTCAGTATTGGCGTCACCCTCAGTCATTGTAGTCCCAGTGAGAGTCTGTAAACATAAGGGAAAATATACTGTGTACAGGGGTGATGTGCTTATCCACGTCCAGGCCTAAGTTATTGAGTCGTCATCTTGGGGATTTCATCTTGGATACCACTGAGAGAGAGAGAGAGAGAGAGAGAGAGAGAGAGAGCAGGACTGAAGGAGGGAGGAGGCGCTAGATAATGATAATGGCAGCAGTAAGATAAGGGCGGCGGAGGAGAGGAGGGTCATCAAGTAGGTGCAGGAGAGGTAATGTTGTGGGCGAGATGTCCATTGAACCCCCCTCCGCCCCCGAGTAGTAACTTGAGTGAGTGATAGTGGTATGGTCGTGAGATAGAGAACGATGCATTTAAGATGAGGGAAAGTGGGGGGAGAGGAGGGGTTAAGATGAGGGAAATTGTGGTATAATTAGCTGGGAAATGGGGAGGGAATTGCTACTAGGTATTGAATGTGGTGAGAGAGTGATGGGGGGCGTATATTTTTGGGAGAATTTTGAGTGTAGTGGAAAAGAAAAGAGGAGTGAGGGTGGTGGAAGTGAGGGTGGTGGAAGAGGAGTGAGGGTGGTGGGAAGAGGAGGAGGGTGGTGGAAGAAGATTGAGGGTGGTGGGAAGAGAGTGAGGGTGGTGGAAGAGGAGTGAGGGTGGTGGAAGAGGAGTGAGGGTGGTGGAAGAGGAGTGAGGGGGTGGTGGAAGAGGAGTGAGGGTGGTGGAAGAGAGAGAGGGTGGTGGAAGAGGAGTGAGGGTGGTGGAAGAGGAGTGAGGGTGGTGGAAGAGGAGTGAGGGTGGTGGAAGAGGAGTGAGGGTGGTGGAAGAGGAGTGAGGGTGGTGGAAGAGGAGTGAGGGTGGTGGAAGAGAAGAGAATGTGGCCATCTTCGTCCCTTCCAGCACTTAATCCTCCTCCCCAGAAGTATGCCCTTGACACCTAAAGTGCATCCAACCTCACACCACCACCACACAACCTCACACACCACCACCACCACACACCTCACACCACCACCACCACACACCCTCACACCACCACCACCACACACCCTCACACCACCACCACCACACACCCCACACCACTACCACACACCACACCATCACACCATCACCATCACACACCCTCACACCACTACCACACACCCTCACACCACCACCACCACACACCCTCACACCACCACCACCACCACACACCCTCACACCACCACCACCACCACACACCCTCACACCACCACCACCACACACCCTCACACTACCCTCACACTACCATCACAATAGCGTCACACCTTACCGTCAACAAAGAGTGAGGAGCGTGGGAAATTTTCCAGTGCAGGGTGGTGAGCGGGCTGCTGATTGGTCGCCACTTGAAAGGTTTCCTACTCTTCCAATATGCAAATGTCTTAAGCCCGGCGATTGTATTTCTGTTGTGTCTTGTATTTTTCGTGATGTTGTATTGTATCTGTGAGGTGCGTCATAACTACTGCTGCCGTCTGATGTTGGAGTAATGGGTTTGTCGCTCGAGTGTATTGGCGTTTGGCGAGATATTATAAAGTACTGTACATGGATTGGATGCTGCATTTTACTCTTGTGTTATCATTTGAGAATGGATGAAGACACTCATTGCAGAATTTTTTTTTCTTTATTCTTACCAGTGTACAGTATAGTATAGCTTATTGACCTGCCACGTATCAACATGTGGCAGTGGTTATTTCTTCCATATAAGACACAGTTTAGACATAGTTGGAGTTTATTGCAATCATTTTTGTAGAGTTTTCATGTTATCCAGTACAGTTTTGTTAATTTAATGCAATTTATTTATATTTAGAAATTTACTGTCAATATTCTTCTCATATATATATATACGTATGAGTTTACTGATTTATAGTACTGTATATGAAATTTGGCAGCAGTTTGGAGTCCCACATTGAAGCAATTTCTCCAGAAACATTTAAGTGGCTGCCTTTCGAGTGATGTGACACCAGGTGGCCACTTCGTAACATTTTATATTTATTTATAAATTTGTAAAAACATTTGAACTAATGTGATTCAAATTGGCAGCCTCGTTGTCATTTGTCGTGTGAGTGACTGTTTGTGTGTGTATGTGGGGAGGGGGGGAGGGGCAAACCTTTCTTCCACATGTAAAGGGCACATATTAAGCAACAACAGTGTTTATGGTGATGGATGTAACTAGTCTCAGATACCATCGATATGTTTTCTCTTGTGGCACTTGCAGGTCACTGCACTCTCTGATTACTCGATCCCATGTTTATTTCGCCCCCTTGTTACTCCGCCCCTTCTTTTTGAGTGTTCAGTGCACGACTAGCCGAGTCCCCTCGCTGCCCCTCCCCTCGGATATATTCCCCCTGCAGTGCTTCCATCCTACAAGCTTCCAACGTTTGGCCAGCTTTACTCTTCTTCTCACTCCTCTGAGTTTTTACACACCTGCATATTCTTTTCTCCTCCCCTAATCTTCTATCTCTTTATTTTTATGGTTCACCCTTTGTGAGTGTGTTTTTTGTGAATATGTGTTCATCGGCATGTGTGTGCCTATGGTGTAATGGTCATCATGCTTGCATCGCAAGCAAGTGTACCCAGGTTAAATTCCCTGACAGAGTGAAAGTATGAGCAAATTTCTTTACGTCATTTGCCTTTATCTACTCGATAGTAATTGGGAACCTGGATATCATTTGATTTGCGGATCGTGTTCCAGGGTAATGGTAAGCCAGTGCATTTGGCGAGTTGTCCTGCCTTCTCAGATTATTCCGTGACACTGGGTCTTACAGCTCATTAACTTAGGATGTGATTAATGTGTGTGTGTGTGTGTGTTTCATATTTATTTGTATCATTCTTTTTTCAACTAACTTTTTACAAAAGTTTTGTTCTCACATGTAAAATACTTCCTTCAGACTTGAGGTACATAATGTATTCCAAGTCTCCAATTAACCTTCTCGACAGCATTCTCAACCTCCTTCATGAACCACACTACCCACCTGTAGTGCTGGTACATTACAGTAAAGTACATTACATTATCTTACATTCCACTTGCCTGTCTCAAGCCCCGATGTGTGTTTTCATTCTTATTGCTTCACCTATTGCATCTCAAGCTTTCCCCTTTTCCTCTTGTACTTACGACGCTCCTCCTTTGGATTTGTGGCTGTGGCTGAGGTCACTCCCGCTTGGAACTTATGTTTTCGGTAATTAGGCTTCTATGTTGTGAGAGGTCTCCCACTTCTTTTAAATTATTGCCTGAGGTGTTGACTATGAGGACCATATATACTGTATATATTTTTTGGGGTCTTTTTATATATATACTCTTTCCTTCTTTCTCTTACAAAGAAGGAGATATGAACCTGGTTGATGTGGCACTATTATATGCAGATGACACTGCTGAGTACAGGTACAGTACTTGAGTACAGATTACTGTACCAAGCATGGTGGTCTGGGTTCAAAACTGATCACCGAAAGGTGAAATTGTTTACTATACTGTACAGTACTGTAATATCTTGGGAAAAGGTGAAAGTGTTGATAGTACGATATTGTAATTGTTACTTAGTACATAATTTCTGTTAAATTGTAACTTAATTCCTTATTTTTTCCCTCAGGGAGCAGCCCATATTCTCGTGCAAGGCGCACGTGTTCCACATCGACCCGAAGACTAAGAGGTCGTGGATCCCGGCGTCGTCTTCTGCAGTGTCTGTCTCCTTCTTTTATGACTCCACCCGGCAGCTCTACCGCATCATTTCCGTTGAGGGCACAAAGGTATTTATAGATTTTTATTTTTTGTTTTTTCATATATTCCTTGGAACTGTGTACAGGATTCTGTTCTGTAAATATAAGTTTTTACCTAAGAATGTTTGTATTGATCATAAAGGGCTCATATTATTTTGTAAAAGAGTTAAGCTTTTTTTTTTTTTTTTTCACTTCCCTACTTGGGCATGTGCTCCAACTTTTGAAGTACCTGCAGGAAGAACTTAGCTCTGGGTGGCACACCTCCAGACTCCTGAATTCTGACTTACACCCACCTCCTTTCACCCAACTAGTGGTTTCACTGTTAAACCAGCAATGATCTTACTGTAACCCAAAATTATGACACTGGTATCCACACTTAATACGGATATGTTATAAAGCAAAACTCACAACAGAATTATCTTCTATGACAAACAATGAAGTGTCTTGCAAACTAATTGATAGGTCAAAAGGAAGTCCCTGGCTGTGTCTCAAAATCTCAAAGCTTAGGTACAACTTGAATGGTAGGAAATCAGGAGGTAACCTTGTACACCAAAAAATGTCTTGTAGCATTCTGTGGCATTTAAGATGTTTTTGGGAAGGAGGTTTTTTAAATGAATGTATCTCAGCTTTTATAATGGGAGTTTATGGGAAAATGTGCATCGATTTACAAAAAACAATCTTTATAAGAGAGGGTTTTTTAGGAATGTAACCCTCAAGTAAATTGGGTCTACCTATATATACTTTGGGTTACCTTTAACTCTTTGCTAAATTTCAGTCCATGTACTCACAGCAGAGAGAACCATTCAATACTACAAGTCCCAGATCCATTCTTTGTTAAGATGTTCATACTTGACGGGGGCTGGTTTGGCTTCGACACATCTCAGCATTTTTGAGATCTACAACAAAAGCAGCAATTAAATTCTACAATGCTGGAAAGATGTTGAGGAACTTACTGTACTGTACTTTACTTTTTAAGCCACAGCAACTCACCATCCCTCACTTACTAATAACAAAAACTGTGCTGGGAGTCTACCCTACTGTTTCTCTTCATACTGTTTCTCTTCATGTTAACAAAATTGCAAATGTTTTTTTAAATTCTTACTAAATTGTAGTTATTTGAATAAAGCTACGACATATGTCATCAAATAATGATTGTAACGACACAGTATTCTTCAATTTATGAATAGATTAAATCTATTAAATATCCTGTTGTAGGTGAGGTGTAGTGGATAAATGAAGCGTGCATTTAAGAGGGCTCAGGGTATTGTTGAATTTCCTGAGTTATGGGACAAACCTGATTTGTTAAAAGGATTCCTTATGTTTTTCTTGCCTCCAGCTTGGGAAAATATGTTTTGAATATATGTAAACAGAGAGAGAGCAAGACTGAGAATATACTGTAAATAATCACCTTTACACTCCCCCCACAGGCAGTCATCAACAGCACGATAACCCCCAATATGATGTTCACAAAGACGTCACAAAAGTTTGGCCAGTGGTCAGACATGCGAGCCAACACAGTTTATGGCCTCGGGTTTTCTACTGAAGCAGAACTCAATAAGGTTAGTTTGAGATTTGTATCACCTAATTTTACATGATGCTTTGTGGTAAGACAGTGATAGGACCTTCTCTACATGTGAAAGTTAAGATGTATGCAACTGGCTTGAGAAGTCTGATGTTGTAGGGCAGTGAAAGAAGATGACATAAGGTACATAGGTTTGAGTAAGATAAAATGAGATAGGTTAGATTGATGTGTAAAGTTACATCAAAAGATAGGGTGGCTGGGTATTGAGAATATTGACAAAGTTTTTCATAGAGTTAAGCTGAGATGGTTCAGGCATGTTGAGAGAATGATGGAGACCAACTGGGTCAAGAGATGCCTAAGTTTGACAGGAGGGGAGGAGATCTAGGGGTAGGCCAAGAATAATATGGGGAGATGTGAGAAATGAGAACCTGATGTGAGAGCTGGAAATGGATGTAAAATAGTATGTTGAATACTATTTCAAATCATCATTGAAACAAATATATATCATATTGTCTTTCTCAGGATTGATATTTATGTTTGTATGAGCAACATTGTCAGTTATGCTCCTTTAACATCTTATTTTTAAGCTGCTTGGTGGTTTCTGCAATACAAGACTGTACATTATTTTCTGAATACTGTACAGTGTACATGGACCAAATCAAAACATATTTGGTTTGCCTGCATGTCTACTTAAGATTAAGTTCAAAGTTGAGTTTCAGGCTGGTACAATTAACTGTGTTAAGAGTTCTTCCCCTCTAACTTCTTTTTTCTCTAGGTTCACAATGGGATGCACTACGCCATCATAGAGTGTGTGTGGCAGAATATTATGCAGTGATGCTCTTTTTCATGTAGTTTTATTATTTGATACATTTATTTTTCTTGTGCTTCTTGTGTGCCACATATCATCAAGAGTACCGGTACTTTTCTTAATACCTGGACTTGTATGTTCTGGTCACCAATCTTTTGAAAGTTTTTCATCAATCTTATTTTTACCACATTTTTTTTTTTTTTTTACTTATTTTGACAACAAACTCATAAATTGGATACAGTTTTGTATCTTGGTATATTTATACTTTTCATTCATGGAAAAGTTAGTTTTATCTTTGTTTCAAGTCTCTAACCTCCCTCTAATACTTTTTTCCAATTTAACATAAGTTGTTGTGTAAAGATGCTTTGGTTAATTTGAATAATACTGTACAGTACTGTGTATCACAATAGAAATGTTAGGTTTGGTACTGTAACATATTATAAGATAGTTATTCTTTTACTTTTTGACTACAGTTCATAGAGAAGTTCCAGGAGGTAAAAGATGCTACTCGATCAGGCAAAACCAATGGCACAATAGGTGGTGGTGGTGGTGGAGGTGGTGTTAGTGTTGGAGCAGGGGCTGGCAGTGGTGTAGGAGCAGTGTCTTCATCCTCAGGACCCGCCTCTGCCACTGCTTCTCCCCTTACCTCACGAGCCAAGATCCAACAAGACCCAACGGGTGAAGTCAACACTGTAACTTCAGGTAAGGCTCCCTGTAACAAACATTTTGAACTAGTTTATCATCAGTTGATTTATTTCAGTACTTAAATGTTTTGTACTTGCTTAAGAGAGGGTTACTGTTACAGGACAGGATACTGTATACTGTACTGTATAATTTATAATTTGTGAGGTTTTTTATTTGCTGTCATCAACTAAAAAGCAAAGTTGAATTATTTTGTTTTATAAGTTATAAGTATAAAAGTAAATTCCTTTCAAATTTATTAAAGTTTGAGAAGGATGCAGATCACATTGTAGATTAAAGAAACTACATGAATATCTGAGGAATCTTAATGAAAGTAGACTATTGCAAACTGAGTAGTACAGATATACCATAATTATATTGTAAATGTACACTGTATATCTCATTAGTCCATATTGGTAAATGAGGAAGGAGGAGTACATAATTCTTTACATTTGCTCGCACAATTAGTTATTGTTCAAGTGATAATTTTATTTCTAACTACAGTACAGTACTGTAATATTGAAACTCCTCATATTGAAAAATTTGGTCAACTTTGCTTTGTTACCTGGTATTTTATAAATTATTTAGTGCAGCACCAAGTAGTTTAAATTTGCCATTGCATTGACATAATTATTTGTACTGTACTGTTCAGTACTGTATGTGGAAGTTGCATTATATTATTAATTGTTAGTTGGGATTGACATGCTAGCAGCAGTGCCTGTGTTGATATATTTTGTAATGTTTTATACAATGTACCGTATTCATTTTCATACTATCTACCAACTAGATTCCTTTACTTTATTGTGAACAGGTAAAAACAAGTCCACGGGTTCAATAAAATTGTTGATTTTTATATTTTCTTATCCTACTAGAATGTACAATACAGTATACCAATTTCTACCTTAAGATTGATGTTTCATATAAAGTCTTCTAAAAATCGACAGATCTTTCCACCATTCACGTCACCCACAACTATGTTTTTAACCATCATCACCACATGTTAAGCCTTTTCATCTTCTATTGTCTCCCAATTTGCCTGGTTAACTCATCTTTTCATAGCCATTCCTCTTGTCATTTCATCTCCTTTGCTCCAGTTATCTAAGCCAGTCAGAGCCTGTTCTTCTCTACAGAGCATTCACATTCTTCATTCATATCCAATCTGTAGACTGTCAGACTCATTCTTCTCTTAAAGAATTAACATAAGTTAATTGTACAGTTCTGTACTGTACTGTTTTTCACATAAAACCCACACCAACTTATCATGCATCCATCTTCATCAGTCCACTTACCATGATAATTCAGTATCTATTCTTGTTTTATACAAATGCTTATGTATGTATGGGTTAATGTGACCCAATGGGTTTAAGTGTTTATATAGTACAGTGGTCCCTCGGTTAACGAACACAATTCGTTCCACAGAGTCCTTCGTTAATCGAAAATTTTGTTAACCGAATCCATTGTTTCAATGGGATATTGGGTAATTGGTTCCAGCTCACAGAAAAGTACATACAAGTAAAATAAAAATGCAGTAAAGTATGTACACTTACTTTGAGGTGTGTATGTAGAAGGTTCCTGGTTGATGATGATGATGCGAATTAGAAGTGGGGGTGGAGGAGAAGGGAGAAGAGAAGGAAGTGGGGATGGAGGAGAAATCACCTTTCAGGGGATCCATGCTTGATGCAGTCATTTCACCAATAAAATTTTAAGTTCACTAGGTGTAATTCAAGATTATTTTATTTAAATCAACACTGCGCTATATATTATCAATATGTTAACTAAATTTCAGAATGACCAATAATTTTAATGTAAAAATGCAAAAATATTCAAGACACCAACAAAATTGATGTTCACTCCACTGTCAACAAAGCCAAACTGACGCCTGGTGGCTGAGTCAATCGGCTGATGAGCGCACAAAAAACTAGTTCCCTGTACTGCATATATTATCAATATGTTAACTAAATTTTAAAATGACTAATAATTTTAATATAAAAAATGCAAAAATATTAAAGAGCACAACTTTCTTGATATTTACTCCACTGGAAACGAATGTAAACATAGAACAGATTACTGAATTGGCAGACTAGCCCATCAGCTGATCAGCTGATGCTCACAACAAAACGTGTTGTTCGTAAGGATTTCGTTAATCGAAGTTTTGTTCGTTAACCGAATTGAAGATCCTTACGGGAGGTATTTCGTTAATCAAACCGTTCGTTAACTGAGGGACCACTGTACAGTATTTAGGTTCGTGTATCATGCTAGTTTACTGTAGGCAGTGTACTGTACATAGTGTTAGTCAAAGGTGGCAGGGCCCAGCTTGTTACAGTTATTTACATGATGAAAGATTATGTAAAAGCATTGTGATTAACCTTTATGTTTGCAAAGTCAGATTTGTGGAATACTGTACAGGCAACTAGTCATTGTTAAATACAGTACTGTCTTTGTGATTCAAATTATTTTACTTTTTTAGTAGACAGAAAGTCGTATTAGTGTACCAGATGAAAATATAAAAGCTTTTTAAAAGAGAACCATTGACAAATATGAAGTATACAGGGTAAAGAAGTAGAATTTCTTGAATATTTTGTGTGATGCATTTCAGAAAGTGCTCATTCTAAACAGTGTTCCTCCTAGCTCAGGTTTAAGTCTGGAAATTAAAGAGTAGAAGCAAATTTCCTGAAACTGGGATTGAGATTGAATGGTAAATCGAGATGTGTTTGTAGGTATTTATATCTGTGGAGAATAATTATTAAATGAAAAAAATATATATTCAAAGATTATATGAAGGTAGGAAGAAAATGGGTACAAGAGTGACTAAAATTATTTCTTGAGTGTTATTGTAATGATTATCAGTTTAAAATGAATGGACAATATGGAGGTACAGTGGAGATGAGGAAATTTGGAGTAATGATATGAAGAAATGGTCTGTTTAGTTTGAAAAACAGTACATATTGGATACAGATATTGGTGATGTATCTATGTGATGGGAATATTGAGAAAGGACAACTCTAGAGGAAGAGTTTTTTCCTGAATGGAACCCATAGGTTTTAATTCTGACCCTGTAGTAGTGACATTTTCATAATAACAAAAACTGCACAGCCACTTTTTCATATTTTAATGAAAATGATGATTGAAATAATTACACTTCTGCTTAAAGCATTTGATACTTTATGTTCTGCTGAGGAGTTAACCTAGATACATGTATGACATAAAATGCTGCCTTCTTGGTGCAAATTTTGGCCATAGTTTGATGATTCATGTTCAGTCTAATGTAGAATCACAAAAGGACTGAGGGCCTTAACCAGTCTTAAATTGATCTGCCTAGTGACTTTTGATGTCCCAATCACCTCTGGCAGGGGGCATTAAGTTTGTGTACCTTTTCTGTTCATCCATCCATTCAAAGCTTTCACATAGGCAAAGGCAATGTTTAGCAAACATTTTATAGTCTTTTATACTCATTTTATACTACCTGTACTACTAACACACAATGCCTGAAGACATGAAGTCAAGATATTTGATCTCACATACAAGAGCACATTACAATAAAACATGATTAATATTAACATAATTATATTATTGATATGAATATTCTGTAGAAAATATTACATTGCTATACACAAGTACTGTGCAATCAGTTTAAGTACTGTACCTGTTCAAATTTAACTGTTTGATAATGAAAAATGTCTAAAATTCTAAATTGCTGTTAAGATAGATTAAAGAGGAAACTAATAATGCACTCATAATTTGATCATCAGTTTCAAGGTTTCATTTACCATTTAATGACTAAAATGACTTAAGCTATCTAAAATACTGCATTTTTCGGTTACCTAGTCTAATAATGTTGTCATTCATTTTGCTGTCCATAAACATTCACATTTGGTTTGTCCTTTTTCAAAATACCTGTAGCCCATGTCATTGGATGCAATTTAAGGTGGCTATCATAACTACAAACAGAAAATAAATAAAATAAAATATCCTTATATTCAAAGCTTTAGCCAAATTTTCCTGAAACTTTTGTATGAATGCTCTCTGGATAGTCCACATTCAAAGCTGGGTCCATTACCAGCATTTACCAATCAAAGTGGATGCTTAGGTCTTGTGGGCCTCATGTTATTGTTACCAGTTACTGCATGTAATGTCATACCTAAGCCCAGTGCCTGAGGCCATTTATTATTATTATTATAAATTTTGTCAAAATATAAATTGCCACTCAATTTTGTGTCAACTTTTGCATTTATTTAATGCATAGTATTTTACCAACAAGCCTAAAAAAAAATTCCTGAGTTGACCAATTATTTTGACTCAACAGCAGAGTTACAGAAACTTTTGACTGACTTATGGAGGAATGTCAAAGAAGAAATACTTATTGAAATGGTAAATCAAAATTTGGAGAGGAGGACTCTGTATTGAAACAAATCTGAGTAGAAAATAGGTTCTGAGGGCTCTGAAATTTGAATACAATACCAAGTAAAATCTTATGAGCAAAGATGTTGGGATTGAAAATGTAGATAGAGAACACAATGTGTTCAAGTGCTGAGGCCTGTGTTGGTGAGGAACGATACAGCAGCAGTGAGAACAGTTGTGAATTTTGTTGGTGTGGCCATTGTGCCTTTGGTGTATTTAGGGTAGTATGAGAGAGTGAAATGTGATTTTTTAATGTTCAGAAGAATGGCAATGATTATGATGATTTTGATAATTGAGAGATTTGAAAATTGTTTAGAAATAGGGAAATACAATTGTGCCATAAGGATTATGAAATTGCTTATGAATATATCATGAAATGATTGATATTATCATCTTTAAGGTACTTGGATAGAACTGATGAAGAAGGATTCATTAAGAAACCTTTGGTAATTGTGGTAATTACTTTACTGTACTTGATAATGATCATCTTGGTTCACTTTATTTTGTTTAGGAATTTGATATGGAGATCACTTTACCATAAACTTTGTTTGTAGCAATATGCTGAAACATATCACTCATGAATACCACTTGCTCTCCTTGTTCAAACTAACATTTAATTTAAT